TAGAATATTTTACGCCTCCAGCCCCAGGCTTCATCCATCTCTCAACAAGAACAATCGTCTGTAGTTTGTGTTCACACCATTCTCATTCTTTCTTCCATTTTCTTTAATTGAAGAAGCCCTTTGTTTCGACAACTCTCAAGCTTCACATAATATCATTCTTCCTTCAATTTTAATTCAATCAAAGAGGTCCAACTATACCTTTAATTCAAAAAGGTAAAATTTCATTCCTATTTTTTTAGTTTATGTTGTTGTATTTGTAGATTTATATAAAATTGAAAATTTGAGATGAAATCATGCATGTGTGTGCTTAATCACGAAAGCTCACTGTTTGTATTTTAATTTTGTATCTTTCTCATCTATACCCTTTAATGGGTCATTGTCTTATCCTATTATAAATTACAGAAGCCTAAACAAAGTTTGTTAATTTCTGATTTTATATTCTTTATGTTTTTTTACTATTCAGACGGAAGATGCAAATAGTCCTATTGAACCTCATGAAATTAATTCCAATTCTCAAGAAGGTCCTTCTGCAGCTGCCAAATCAAATGTCAAACCACCTTCTCGGCCTATCCGGTAGAAGCCTTGCCCTTCGAGGATAAGAAAAAAAGTTTCAAACAAAAAACTGATTCCACCTAAAGAACACAAGCCTGAAGGAGCTGGAATTGGGAACAGGCAGAACTCATGGGTGTGGGATCATTTTGAAAGGTTTGAGGAAAATGGGAATCCGAGAGCTTCGTGCAATTATTGTAGTCAAGATTATGCAGCTCACCCCAAATAACATGGCACCGGTAACCTGATAAACCATTTGCAGCTTCAGTGCATGAAATATGCTTTCAGACTTGTTGACAAGAAACAAAAGACACTTGTTTTAGAGCCTACATATGGAAATGGTGTTTCATTGCTTACTCTTAAATCTGTAAGTTATAGTTACGAAGATTGTAGGTTGAAATTGGTTGAAATGATTGTTCTTGATGAGCTTCCTTTCAAAATCGTGGAGGGTGAAGGATTTAGAAAGTATTCAGCTTATTTACAACCTAGATTTATACTTCCAAGTCGAATGACTGTTGCTAGGGATTGCATGAAACTCTATTTTGATGAAAGAAAAAAAAACTTAGAAGTCTTCTAAAGTCTGAACGTATAGGTCTTACGACCGATACATGGACTTCAATTCAGAATATCAACTATATGTGTCTCACAACACATTGGATTGATAAAGAATGGTATTTGCAAAAGAGAATTTTAAGTTTTTGTGTTATCCGTGACCATAAGGGTAAAACAATTGGTAAAATGATTGAAAATTGTTTGTTAGATTGGGGGATAGATAAAATATTGACTATCACAGTTGATAATGCAAGTCATAATGATGGCGCAATTAATTACGTGAGGAAGAACACTAAAGGTTGGAAAACTAAAGAACACTAAAGAACACTAATTGTTAGATGTTGGAACACTAAAGAACACTAATTGTTAGATGTTGTGCGCATATTTTGAATCTCATTGTGAAGGACGGTTTAAAAGAACAAAATGATTCAATTATAAAGATTAGAAATGCCATTAGATATGTGCGCTCATCTCCGGCTAGGCTCCAAACGTTTAAAAAATGTGCAGAGAGAAAATTGCTAGCAAAAGTTCAGTTTGTCTTGATATTGAAACTAGATGGAACTCTACTTATTTAATGCTAGAAGCGGCTGCCAAGTTTGATAAAGCGTTTGAGAGGCTAAGAGAAGATGACTCAAGCTATCGTATGTACTTTGCTTTGGGTGACAAAGATAATGATGATGGGGACCGAAATCCAAATTTTGGGGAAGAAGAGAGTTATGAAAGAAGAAAGGTAAAAGATAGAAAATACATTGGCCCGCCCGATGAAGATGATTGGAGTATTGCGAGAACTTTTATAAAGTTTTTAAAACTTTTCTATGATGTTAGAGCAAGTCCAACGCAGGGACCAAATGAAGCATTAAATGGCATAACTGCCAATTTGATGCCTTTAGTATGAATTTATCTTCTCCAACGCAGTAATCATACCCAAACATTTTTTTAATTATTCAGGTGTTGGGGTGTATAAATACACCCCTCCACTTCAAATAACAAAATTTAAACACCACCCAACCAACACCAACGGTCATATTTTCAGAAGGAAAAAAGGCCCAACGGTCATATTTTCAGAAAGAAAGAAAGAGGTAAAATCTATATAATCTGAACCTACCTTTGAATAATCTTCATCCCAACGAATCACTATTCTGCATTTCTGCTTTCCCCATTTTTGTTCTTCAAATCAAGGTATTTGAAAAAAAATTGTGGATATACTGAGAAAAAAGAAAGAAATGTGAGGGAAAAAGAGGATAGTTCTGCGATGAGTGAAATAAATTAGGCAGAGAGAGGGAGAGGATTTGAGAGAGACCGAATTCTTTTTCTTTTCTTTTCCTTTTTTTGCCTTCTTTAGGAACTAGAGAGATGAAGTGAGAGGGGAGAGAGGCGTATGTTTTAGGGTTAGGAGGAGCATATTTGTTTAGATATATTGGGCTGAGTTGGGTTGGGAAGTGGGATTTTAATAATTAATTTGGGCTTTGGGTTGTTTAGTTAAAATAATTTGAGGATTAGGCTTGGGCAATGGTTGGGCTTATACTTGGTTTGGTTTAATTGTATTTATTTATGTTTTATGATTTATAATTATTTTTTATTTTGTTTGTTTGTTTTTGTATTGCAGATGAACTCCGATTACTATGGAAATTTCACCAATCTCCTCAATGAAGACTCACCCTTATATGATGAAAGCTATGATGTGAATCCAACTGCACAACATGAAAATATTGTTAGTGCTAGTGCTTCGAGTAGACAAAAAAGATCATCAAATTTTACTTGCGAGGAAGATATTTGTCTTGTGTCGGCATGGCTACATAAAAGCAAAGATGCTGTTCATGGAAACAAACAAGCATCTACTGGATTTTGGAAGAGAATTTATGACGAATTCATAATCAATTGCGGTCAAGGAGGACGTAGTGAGCAAAGCATAAAAAATCGTTGGCGAGAAATTAACACCCATTGTGCAAAGTTCATTAGTTATGTTAATCAAATCAACAATAGGAATCAGTCTGGTCAAACAGATCATGGGAGGGTACATGTATTTCCTTCTCTTTTCATATATTTAAATTATATCGATATTATTGTTAACATTTGAATATTTTGTGTCATAGGTGGAAGAAGCAAGAGCACTATATTTTACCAACAATGATAGAAAGCCATTTAAATTTGAACACTGTTTTGATATTCTAAAGCATGAGAAGAAATGGCTTGATATTTCGAAAAAAAATAAGCAAAGAAATACTTCTTCTATCAACCTTAAAGGTACTCAAATATCATCGGAAGATAACAATAGTGAGCATTCGGCCAATAAAGATCGGCCTTTGGGTAAGAAATTGTCCAAGGAATCACAACTCAAGAGAAAACAAGGCATAACGGATGGTGGAAGCTCATCCAGAATGTCACATACCGATGAGCGTTGGGAAGCAAAGATGGTAATAGAACGCGAAAGATATGATCAACGCGAAAGGCTCATAACAATACAAGAAAAATGCAATACGTGTCGACGAAGAGTGCAAACAAATAGATGAAGAGCGTAAACAAATTGACGAAGGGAGTAAACGTATAGAACAAGAGCGCGTAGAGATGGAAATTATGGCCAAAGACACTAGTGGGATGGAAGAGATTCATGCAGGTTATTGGAACAAGAAAAAAATGGAAATATTGAGAAATAATGGTTTAATATAATTGTTTATTTATGTATTTTGCATTCTAGGTAGGAAAATTGGTTTTAAGTATTTTTCGTTGAGTAGGATAATTGATTTTAAGTATTTTCCATTGCAATTTAATTGGTATTGTACTTTTGTGTTTTATCTATAATAAAAAAAATTATTGTAAATTATTGTTGGGTGATTAAAAAAATTAATGACAAGTACCAATCAAATTTAAAGATATAAAATAAGTTACAATACAATACAACAAAAATAAAGTAAAGAAGACGGACATTATTCCCAATTGATAATTTAGACTAATCTTGACCGTGTAAATCCCATAAATGCTCAACAAGATCACGTTGGAGTTGGGAATGAGTGGTATGGTCTCGGATTTGGTGATTGATTTGAATAAACTCTCTAAACTCATTTGTTTGTTCGCGTGAAGGTATAACATTTGGAGTTGGAAAATCAAAATCAATGGAACATGTGCCATGTTCATCCTCAATAACCATGTTATGCATTATAATGCATGCTTTCATTATATTAGCTAGTGTCTCCTCATCCCAGAATCTTGCTGGTCCATGCACTATATTATAACGAGCTTGTAGTACCCCAAAGGCCCGTTCTACATCTTTTCTCGCAGCTTCTTAGGCTTGTGCAAAATGCTTCGCCTTTAAACTTATTGGAGCAGGTATTGTCTTAACAAAAGTAGCCTACGAAGGGTAAATACCATCTGCTAGATAATAGCCCATATGATAATTATGTCCATTGACAATAAAATTGACCGGAGGTGCAAGACCGCTGGTCAATGCTGAGAAGACATGAGATCTTTCTAAAACATTAATATCATTGAGCGAGCCTGGCATTCCAAAGAAGGCATGCCATATCCAAAGATCTTGTGAAGCAAACGCCTCCAATATAATAGTCGGTTTACGATAATGACCAGAGTACATACCTTGCCATGCGGATGGACAATTTTTCCATCCACAGTGCATGCAATCGATACTTCCAAGCATTCCAGGAAATCCACGTTGCTCGTTGACTTGGAGCAATTGAGACAAATCATCTTCATTTGGTGCTCTTAAATATTTTTCAGCGTAAAGGGCAACAATTGCTTTCACAAAATGACGTAGGCTCTCAATAAAAGTGCTTTTACCTATGCGTATGTGGTCATCCAGAAAATCTGCTGGAACTCCATAAGCAAGAATTCTATATCCAACAATTACCTTTTGAAGAGATGATAAACTGGGGATCCCTACTGCTTCCTTTTTTTGGACCAAGTAGGGATCGTATGCTTCAACACCAGAAAGAATTCTACAAAATAGAGGTCTGTGCATACGAAATCTTCTCCTAAAATAAACACCATGATATACAGGATTATCAGAAAAGTAATCACGATAAATTCTATTATGACCTTCACCTCTATTGCAATTAATGACGCATCTACCAGAAACTGAACCACGGCGATGTGTGCGTTGTCTTTCTCTCTCAACTTCCTCCTCTTCTGTTGCTTCTACGAGCATCTCGAGATCATCAGAATCAGAGTCGGACAAGAAAGTTGTTAAAACACCTTGATTACGATGCATATTGAAATAAAGATGAAGATGATAGAAATTGTGGATAATAAAACCTGTGAACCAATGCGATATTTAAAATGTTTGATATAGATAGGAAATCCTATCGGATATCTTAACATCGAATCAACATCTAACACGTTGCAATAAAAAATCTTATCGGATATCGTAACATCGAATTATAAACTAACATGTGGATAAAAAAAAATTATTATCGAAAATCTTGACATCGAATTATAAGCTGACACGTAGCTATAAAATTTGGTTACCATTTAGTTTATTTTAAATAAATTTTTAATGTATATTAAATTAAATGTTTTAACATAATTTAAAGGTAGTTTACATTAAATAGTTGAATTTAAGATTACTTTTTAAATTTGATTATTAATTTGATGTTTGATGGTTGGAGTGGAATTTTTTTAATGAGGTACCAAAGTACTGTAGCAGGTACCAAATAGTCATTTGATGCTTCAATTTTGCTTACTAGCCTTGGACTTGCTCTTACTTTGCAATTTTCTGGTACTTTGCATGTAACATCTAATATATTTTTTCAAGAACTTGTTGTTGTCCAAACTTTGTTGTTGTCCAAACTAGATTGAAGTCTTTGTCTAAACACTCTGATCCAAAAGTATGTCTTATGGCACTTGAAATGCAGAAAAAAATCAAGAAATATTGGGAAAGTCTTGATAACCTGAATTTTCTTGTTTATTATGCCACTGTATTGAATCCACGCTATAAATTGAGGTTTGTGAGGTTTTGTCTTAATTAAGTTTATGAGAATAACACTACATCGGCTAGTGTTATGGAAGAGCAGGTGAAGAAATTGTTGATTCGCTTGTACGAGTATTATCAAAATTGTTCTCCCTGTCAAAATTCTCAAAGTGGGGCTGCTATTTCAAGTCAGGCTCCAATTGAAGTGATGGACATGGATGATGATGTCGAGTCACGTAACTCTCTAGCTTTTCAATTTGCAAAACAAATGAAGAAAGATACATGTGTGCAGAGTAAGTCATAACTTTCTCGATATTTAGAAGAGAATTGTGAAAACAGTGTTGAGTCTTTCGATTTATTGAGGTGGTGGAAGGAGAATTCTATTAGATTTCATATTCTCTCTCAATTAGCTAGATATGTTCTGGCTATCCCCGTCTCCATAGTGGCATCCGAGTCAGCCTTTAGTACAAGTGGTCGTATTCTTGATCCATATCGAAGTTCTCTTAATACTGAAACGGTCGAGGCTCTTGTATGTTTGCAAAGCTGGTTAAGATCAAAACCTGTCACAATTGATATCCATGAACTCTTGAGAGAAGTATCTATTAAAGTGGAGAAGTATGATGAAATTATAAAAGGTAAATCTTATTTTAATTGTGTCATAATCATTTCAATGTAAAGTTATTGATTATCATATATTTGTGTGAATTTCAGAATTTGGCAGTTGCAGTATTTCAAGTGCAAAATGACTAGCCGCTGATTGTCGACAATGCTGGTAAAAGATTCGTTTTTCATGTAGTTTTCTTTAATTGCTTAAAGTTATTTATGCAATTTTAACAAATTGTTAGTTCTGTTTTTATATGACATGGAATAAACTTTTAAAGTTATTTATGATAATTGTGTTGGAAATTTTTATTTCCTATAAACTTTTATTCGTCATTTAACATGGAATAAAAAAATATTTGTAGGTAATCAAGGTAAATGCAACCAGATTTTGATATTGTAGAATGATTGAAGAATGAAGAAGTGTTTTTGGGTGTTTTAGATTGCTTTTGATTGTTCTGGACTCTTTTTTTATTTTTTTTTGAAGTTTATTTTGATTGACATACAGTACTTGTTTTTGGGCTTTAGGATTTGGTTGTTTGGTTTTGTCTCATTTATCCAGATATTCTATTTATAATATGAAGTATTTTTTGCATTAATTATATATTTGTTTAACCCGCCAACCCGCCATGTTTAAAAAAAACCCAAATTGGGCAGTTTGCAATCGTAAGTGACGGCAGGTGCAATTTGCAATTTTATGAACCCGCCAATATCGGTTCAGGTTGATTTTTTTCAGAAACCCGCCCATCCCGCCCGTGTTCACCCCTACCTAAGCACAGTCACATAATAGTCATATACAAAACAAGTTAAACCGTGCACATATACCAAACATGACTGTTGTCCCAAAAAATGTTTGTATACAAAAGTAAATCTCCCCCAAAACACCATGGGAAACTAATTTGGATCTACGCGCATTAAAAATAGATTTGGATTTTTCCTACTGTACATACAAAATGCTTGCCAAAATATTAGGTTTAAGTTACACATACTAACCAGCGTCGAGCTTCATAATGTCACGAGGATTGGGTCCTCGTTTGCGTTTTGATGATGCTTTCTTCTTCATTTTCAGGATGTAGATTTTGAATGTAACTACTGTTACTCAACTCCTACCAGTACATGACTAGTAATGGGCGAGGGGATGGACGATGTTGTACCAAATGTGTTCGATTTGGTATGTGACTGCAGTTTCGAAGCGAGGGAGTTTTCGATTTTGGGGGAGATTTCACTTCTTTGCGTCTTCTTCAGCGTGATTTCTGTGATTTGATTTTTTTTGTTTTTTTTTTAATTTTTTATTTTGGAGCAGTTTTTTTAGGGAAAGCATATAATTAATGCTAATTAGTCGGGATTTAGGTGCCCACGTTATTAGGGATTTCGAAAATACTGGATAATTATTAAAAAACGTGATAGTTGTTGCAAGGGTAAAATTGAGAATAAATATTTTAGGGGTTTATCACAAAGGAAGAATTATGGTATGGACATATCACCATTTCTTATCTATAGGAGGGGGTTATTGCTAATGACCCCTAAGTTTAAAGGGTTTGTAGTAATTTTGTCATATAAATATCAGATTTAAAGAGAAAAAAACAGATGACGTAGATTAATAGGGGCTCTTTGAGAAAACCCCCCATTACTTCTTTTAATAGGGAGATACCCAAAATATTTTGCTCCATTTGAGAAAAGTCCACACCCAATTAAACATTTTATTTGATGTTATGAAGTACTACTTGTTGAATGACCATCTCAACAAAAAGTTTAACCGATTAGTGAAATGTATTATTTATTATTAATATCTCCAATACATCCCCTCAAGTGCAGATGAATTACATTTGTAGCCTTGCACTTGAAATATTTGAAATGGGTGGCAGTAGGATTCGAACTCAGGACCTTTCATTTGGCTTGACTTTGATACCATATCGAATGACCATCTCAACAAAAAACTGAAGACATTAGTGAAATATATTATTTAATATTAATATCTCCAATACTACTTTTCTTTTCTGATAATTATTGTAGGATCATATGAATATGTATGCATTGTCATCTTCCAACAATTCATTATGGCCAACACAGATGTAAAAACTTGCCTGATAGGTTCTAAAAGGCAATATCTTTGGTCAAAATGCAGAGTAGCCAAATATGAACTTTATTTCTCTAAAATAAAACAAAAAATAAAAAAATTATATGGGATTTATTGCGCTATCTACATATGTGTTTACTCTAATTGTTATAAAAAAAAAAAGGGAAAGTACAGTTTGCACCCTTGAACTATGTGTGTTGTCACAAACACCCCCTTGAACTACAAAACGTAACAAAATGGCCCCTCCGTTTCAAATCCGTTTGTGTATGATGATGTGGCGAGTTGACTTTGTCCTTTTTTTTAATTACTTTTGTAGCTGCAACATATTTTGACCTTTTTACCCTCAATATGCTACATCTGTATCTCTCTCTCTCTCGATATACTGTATACATCCACGTTCTTGTATGAACGCACATGTTCTTATAATAAATATTTATAAATATACATAATTTAATTACAAAATAAATTAATTATTTAATTCATATTTTACCAATAAATACACTAAATTAAACCAAAACAAAATTAAAAATATTGTCAAACTTTGCCTCCAAGTACCCCAGATCAGTTAATCAATATTTCTATTCTCTCTCTTGCGAACTTTGATATCCGATATTTATGTTGGTGTTGGATCCCATCAGAAAATAATTACAGAAATCAACGCTATTGGTTAGCCATTCGTCGGTGGTGGTTATCGACGGAGACAACCAACGCCGGAATTTCGTCGGCGATTTGAGAAGGTAACAAAAGGCGTGGGACATGATTGTGTGAGCGCTGCCTAGGAGGAATCCTCCCATGCGCTGTGATAGTAAACGACGAGGGGCAGTTTGGATGCCGGAGCGGGGAAAAAATTCGTCGAGGGGAGATACAAGGATGAATACTCCCCTATGATAGTAAACGACGAGGGGCAGTTTGGATGCCGGAGCAGGGAAAAATTCCAGCGAGGGGAGATACGAGGATAAATCTTCGTTGGTGGGAATGTGTTTGCTGGGGACCGAAGATTTGGGATCGGAAGAGGCGGCGATTGGGGGAAGAATCCCGGCCGACGTGTGATGGAACCATTGAAGTTTTGGGTTTATTCGAGGTGGGAAGAAGCGTGCCCATTAACATTAACTCAGTGATACCATTGACATGTTGAAGAAGAGAAGAAGAAAGAATTGACTAGTCTAACTTTTTAAATTAAATACATTTAAGGGTAATTAAGTAATTGCCCAGAAAAACTAACGGTGTTAATTTTCTAACGTTTGACCAAAAATCGGAGGGGCCATTTTGTTACGTTTTGTAGTTCAGGGGGTGTTTGTGACAGACCCCATAGTTCAGGGGTGCAAACTGTAGTTTCCCCTAAAAAAAATACAAAAGTAATTAGCGCTACCGCAACCTAAGAAAACACTTTTTTATTCTCTAATTTTCACTTTTAAAATACTATCTCGTGCATTGCACGGGAAAAAAAATACTAGTATTATTAATATTATAAAAAAAATCGGCCTATACTGCAATTTTTGTTTAACTACCCCTAAAATCACACAATTTAGGGGGTTGCGTGCTAAACAAAAATACATTATAGAGGGTTTTCCTAATATTCATAACACGATAACTTCTTTAGAATTTGTTTAAGATTGAAAATTATACACACTTGGAAAGATCGGTCGAACGCCTATGTGCCAAGCAATAAAACACACATTACAACGTTACATGGACCATTACAAGAATTATCATAATAATCATAAATGAATTATTCTTTATGTCTATATTTTTATATGTATATAAATCCAAAAATATTCGTATTACATCAGTAATAAATTATAAGGGAAAATACAGTTTGCACCCCTGAACTATAGAGCTAGTTACAAACACCCTCCATAAACTACAAAATTTATCAAATTAGTTCATAACTTTAATTGACAAATGTTAGATTTTTAACACCGTTAATAATAATGAGCATTTACATATTTACCCTGATTATTTTGATGCTGCAAACTGACGTGCTATCATCACCAAGAATGTAATCATCTCCCTCTCAAATCTCAATAGAAAACCAGAACCCTCTGTAAGCTTAACGAACACCAGCCCCTGCCCCAAAAAGTGGCATTCTCACTGCAATTCGATCACTCCTCCGACGCAGAAATTCTTGGATCATACTCCGCGTTTCTTCTTTCCTGATTTCTATGAAAGGTATGGCTCTTCGTTTTGCCTTTTCTGCGTTTATATAAATTTTGTGTGGCGTATAGGCATTCGTGGTGGTGATTTATTTCTCTATTTTATGTTTGTGGGTTTTGGTAACATGATCATGCTCTGGTTTTTGAATTTCAACGTGCTGACGTGTTGTTGAATATTGTTATGATAAGTTTTGATTTCGGTTTCTTGTCGGGAGTTTGTTTCTACGATTCTTGATTACCTTTGAGTTTTTTTTTTTTTTTTTTTTTTCTTTTAATGTTTTGGTGTAACCATTACTTGGTGAAATTAACTGTGTAAGAAAAATTGTGATGAATTATAGGAGGAATATTTAGTCTTTCAATTCTTTAGTTATCGGTGCGAATTTTTATTTTTATGTTTTTGACTTGTTTGTTGAGTAATTTCATGGAAGTCCCAGTTGATGTGTTGATGTTGTATCTAATTTGTTTTCTTTGTTCTCCAACTATTTTATACATTTCTTAATTTCTTTTCCAATTCTTGTTTTTCATTTTCTTTTGGCAAAACTTGTTGGGAAAAACCAATTGATTGTTTAAGATGTGAAAAAGAAAAGTTCAACCCGCGACATCAGCAAAAACGAACGGACTGGCAAATGGAGGGACCATTTTGTTACGTTTCGTAGTATAGGGGGTGTTTGTGACATGTCCCATAGTTTAGGGGTGCAAACTGTACTTTTCCCTAAATTATATTTACAAAACAAAAAATGCTTTTTTTTGGAATTTAATATATTAATGGGGTGAAGATTGATACTTTCATAAATTGTTTCTTTCAAATATTCTATTACAATTAATATTATTTAAAATATATTCAAATCTAATATAAAGATCAAAACAAAATTTATTTAATAAATAGTTTTATATTAATTTTTATTTCAGAGTGACGTATTTTTTTTTTTGAGTAATAAGAGTGAAGTATTTTAAACATTATAGTAATTGTTCACTTAAAAAGTATCAGAGGAAGATAAGTTTGACAATTATAATGGTTCTCGTACTTTGTACGTCATTATGAAAATATCAAGAAATTATATTTTTAAGGGGTGATTACAAATAAGCCCATCAATGGGTACTTATTCATAAAGAGATTCAGACAAAAATCTCATTTACCAATAAGTCCACACATGGTCCAGATTTTTGTAAAAGACTAAAATAGCCCCTTATGCTTTAATATGCTCCAATTTCATCCTTAACTTAATTTAACCTTAATTTGACCCCAAATTTCACAAATTATTCAATTTTGACCCGGTGTTAATATTGTTGTGATTGACAGTCATATTAACTATATTACTGTTAAACACAGTAAAATTAACTAAACTACAGTTTAACACAGTAATATTGCTATATTAATCTAGCACAGTAATAATTTTCTCTCGAATAATAAGCGGCTCTCTCTCGATAGTGTTTCTCTCTTCTAATGGCTCATCGGATATCGCCAGATTTGTAACCACCGCCCTTCGTGTTATATGGCTAAAATAGGTTTTCCTTTGTCAGTTGAAATTCATGATTGTATTTTCTAATTGCTTTCTAAGTGATTTGTGTTGGTTAGACGTATATCATGTTTTCGTCTTGTTTTTTATTCGGCAACTGCATTCTTTTTTGGTTTTTGTTTTTTTTTTTTTCTGAAAAGTTATTGCTTAGTTAAAACTTGTTTACTGTGATAGTCATTTTATGACTCAAAATAAATAAAAATATTGAAAATAATTATAGAATTAAGGCACGAAATGTGGTGTCGTCCATCTGTATGTTGTTTAATATTGGAATTGACTTTGTCCACTGTGAATACATTGTTTGTATTATGTAAAGGCAATGCCCATATTATTTTGTATTGGTGGGTGTAGGGATTGTACAATTATTTTTTCTTTCTTTTTTTCTTTTTTCTACCGTTGCTATTGCGTTTATGGATCCAGCAGTGAAATGGATTTCAAGCCCAAGAGCAAACACCACACCATGTCGCTCGAAATGACGCTCGTCGGCTTTGTTGGTGGTAGTGTTGCACTTTTTCTAGGACATAATAGTGGATTTATGTTTCGAATAGTGGATTTACAAATAGTGGATTTACGAATAGTGGATTTACGTTTCGAATAGTGGATTTAGGAATAGTGGATTTACGTTTTCGTCTAAACAAAATATAGATAATTGAGCAGGAAGTTCGTCTCAACAAAATGCAGAGTGATTTTCGTGCTTTTCTAATACAATTTTGCAAACATTGTGTGGTTTCATAATGTTTGTGGTTTATGGGTGTTATTTACATAATAAAAAAAATGTATGTGCTTTTGAATAATGTGGTTTTGATTAATGCAATAATGGTAACTATTTTTTAAGGTTTCTAGTTATAACAAACACCACTTAATTGTAAAACACCTAATGGGAATTTTATAGCTGATTTGCGTCTTGCAGGACTCAATCCGCAAGAGAGGTGATGGAAGGACTCAATCCGCAAGAGAGGTGATGGAATGTTCGATCCATCTGCCGACATGTGCAATTATGATATCCTTTTCATACAAAGTGATTTTTATGTTGACATAGTTGTTATACAGAGTGGTTTTCATGTTTATATAGTTGTTTATATAGAGTGGTTGTCATGTTTATATAGAGTGGTTTTTATTTAAAAAAATGGAAAGAAAATAAAAAAACACCATTTAAAAAAAAAAAAAATCGAAATTAAGAAAAAAGAAAAACCATGAAAAAATAAAAATAAAAATAAAACCATTTTTTAAATTAAAATAAAAACATGAAAAATATAAATAAGAAAAAAATAATATAAAATAAAAAACCAAAAATAAAAAAGAAAAAAAAAATAAAATAATTACAAAATTTTCTTTTAAATCGAAATAAATAAAACCATTAAACAAAATAAAAAAGAAAAGGAAAAAAAACCACTCTACCGCCATACTCCAACTCAGCATCGGCAACCGGCGCCTCATCTTTCAACTTCTTCAGGCAGACTTTATTCCGGTATGGCTCCACCCCTTCTTAGCCGATCCTCGCCACACGTTTTGTGGGGTCAGTATCAAAGATGACGTGGACAAATTATACGATCGTCACAAATTATGCGTGAGAAAAATCGCGGACCTGAACGATCTTGCAAGACTGGCGACAATCAACAGTCAAAATGGAAACGGAGGGTACAAATACATGGGATTGAAGAAGATGGCGTCTGCAGTTCTTGGAAAGAAGATGGAGAAGCCATTGAACGTGACGCTCAGTAAGTGGGATGTTGTGGAGCTTGATCATGATCAAATTGAATATGCAACCATTGATGCGGTAGTTTCTTACCAACTTGGTTATACACTGTGCACGCCGATTTTTTTCGTCCGCAGCCAGACTTTATCGTAGTTGGACGACCTGGATTGTTATTAGTTTATGGGACAATTTTGGATGTTTTTCATGTTGTGTATATATATTTTTTCTTTCCTTGCTAATTGCTAAATAAGAAAAGGGATCGAGTTTAAGAGTTGTTTCCTACCTTAAAAAAAACAATATATATATATATATATATATATATATATATGCCGAATGGCAAATAGGCCCATGACAAAGGACTTAAATGCACATTGGTCCACAAAAAATAAAAAACAGTCTTTCAAATAAATTCATTCCCATGTCTTTAGTCTAAAATACCTTCCATAATATATTTTTTATCAATTCCATCTATTATACTCTAACTTCCTTAATATTACACATTGACCCCGAATTTAAATAAATATATCACATTAACCCCAATTATAATAAAAAAAATTTAATTTTTTTTTCAGAAAATAAATTTTTTTCGGAATTTTTTTTTTCCGGTGTTGACTTTTTTTTTTTCTGAAATTGTTTTTGGCCCGTCTCCGGCGTTTTTTTTTTTAAATTTTGTTTGTTTTTAGAAACAATTATTTTAATTAATATTACTGTCTTGACTGCTAAATTATTGTCTCAGAGAGTAATATTACTGTCAAGAACAGTAATATTATGAATATTATTTTTTCGAACAGTAATATTACTAATATTAATGTCCCAAACAATAATATTATTGCATGAGACAGTAATATTACGGTCGGAGACAATAATGTTACAGTCGAAGACAACAAAAATGCAGGCCAAGACGATAAATTTAATTAATACAGTAATATTATTGTCTGAGACAGTTAAATCACTGATGGAGACAGCAATTTAGCAGCCAATATAGTAATGTTAATTAAAACAATCTTTTTTTAAGAAAAAAAAATTTTCAAAAAAAAAAGAAGTCAATTAACAGTTAAATTACTGTCTCCGATAGTTAAATAACTGTTGGACACAGTAATTTAGCAGCCAAGACAGTAATATTAATTGAAATATTTAAAAAAAAAAAAAGCCAATTAACAGTAAAATAACGGCTGTTGACCGGGGGTCTCTGGTGGTGGCGGGTCAAAATTGGGATCGAATTTGAAGTTTAGGTTAAAATTGGTTAATTGGTGAAATTGAGTTAAATTGGGGTGTAAATGGTGTAAATCCATGAAATTGGATTTGAATTGAGTTCCAATGAAGTATGTATATAAACGGATTTTCAAAAAAAAAAAAAAAAAAATTGCCGCCGGATTCCAGCGTGGACTTTTTTTTTTCTTTTTTTTTTTTTTTTTTTTTTTCTGGTCTGTTTTTCTGGTCTGTTTTTTCCGTCACCGGATTCCGGCGTTGACATTTTGATTTTTTTTTACATCCACCGCTAAATGTTGACCGTAATTGTGCTATCACCGACAGTAAATTAACGTAATTATACTGTAAATGACAGTACATTAACGTAATTGTATTGCCGTTGACAATACATTTATGTAATTATTCTGCCATTGACAGTAAATTAACGTAAGATTATTATTATTTTTTGTTATTTTTTTTAATTTTGTTTTGATTTGTTGACAAGCCAACGTAATTATATTACTGTCGTTGACAGTAAAATAAATGTAAACACAATAATATTACTGTCAACCACATCAATATTATTCTTTTTTTGAGTTTTTTGTTTTGTTTAAGTTATTCACGGGATAACGTAAAAATATTAATGTCTATTATTGTAATATTACCATAAACACAATAATATTACTGTGATTGACGGTAATATTAGTGTTGTTATAGTAATATTGCTTCTGTTGCCAAGCAAGAAAAGCAAGATTTGATTCAGGCATTCTATCGAGCACTTGGGGTGAAGAACATGACCCATCAACATGACTAAATAAGTTCTTGGAATGAGCTGAGCTCTCCATAAAAGGTAGTTTTCATGGAATAATTTAATGGTGAAAATGCTAGAAGGTGGGGGCAGAGATACAGGAGAAAAAGTAAACAGATATGGATGAGGAAGAGGAGGGAGGATTGACCATAGGAGTAGACGGAGAGGGATCTGCCATTAAAGCAAATAAAAGAGAAAAAGAAAACTAAGGAAGACGTGAGTCTTATGTAGCTCTAATTACCATGTTGAATCTGTAATCATACTCAAAGGTGTAGAAGATAGATATTGATATGAAAACCAAACAAAGAAGAGAAGCACATCCATTTTTATTTATGTTAATTTCACTATGTACATTGTACATATAAATAGAGATAAAATGATAAAGTTTGTTATGCTAGAAAACAAGAAGTCAGGACACGTGTCTTCCTATATATTCCCTTGCATATTTGTTGTGATCTCTTGTGGTGACCTGACAATAGGTTTAGTTTCTTGGCGAGAAAGATTATTGCTAATAGCCGTCAAACACATCAATATTATTATTTTGTTTAAGTTTTTTTGTTTGTTTGAGTTATTTACGGAGTAACGTGATAATATTATTGATTATTATTGTAATATATATTACTGTAGTTGACGGTAATATTAATGTTGTTATAGTAATATTAATTCTTTTAGCTTTTTACTATGTTTACATTTGTTGAACGATCAACATAGTAATATTACTCTATTAATAATGAGTTTTGTTGTGTTAATATTACTGTGCTAGAGATTAATATAGCAATATTACTGTGTTAAACTGTAGTATAGTTAATTTAGGCTAAATAGCACTTAACCCCTTGTGGTTTGGACATTTTGCACATGACCCCCTTATGGTATGAATTTAGGCACATAACCCCCTTGTGGTTTTGACATTTTGCATATGACCCCCTTATGGTATGAAATTAGGGACATAACCCCTTTGTGGTTTTGAAATTTTGCAGATAACCTCTTTATGGTATAAAATTAGCACATAAGCCCCTTGAATAGAAAACTAGAAAGGACTAAATTACCCCTATCAAGTCAAAAATTCTTTTTCTAATTTAAAAATAATTATTCTATAAAATGAAAAAGATTAATGTACTTTTTTGTAAAATAAGAAATATAATACATTATTGTGTTTTATTAATTGTACAGCACAAAAGGTATAAAATACTAGTTATTGTACGATTGACAATTTATTCGATTTTAAAAATCAATTTGAAAATGTTTAACATTATCATTAATTATGGTTATTATATTTTCTAAATAATATATTATATTATAGTTGTAATCGAACTTTAATTTTTTTAAGAAACAAAGTCTTTATTTTTTTATTCTTCTGGAAAAATCTAAAAAAACATTTCTCTAAAGTTGAAATGAAAATTAAATTTAAAAAAAAAATACGTGGGGTAAAATAGAAAAAACACAATAATATATTATATTTCTCATTTTACAAAAAAATACATTAAACTTTTCATTTTATAGAATAATTATTTTTAAATTAAAACAAGAACTTTTCACTTGATAGGGGTAATTTAGTCTTTTCCAGTTTTCTATTCACGGGGGTTATGTGCTAATTTCATACCATAAGGGGTCATGTGCAAAATTTCAAAACCACAAGGCGGTTATTTGTAATGACCACTATAATAAATTGTTATAGAACTAAATAAAATTTTGATCAAATATCAGACAAATTTGATAAATAAATAAAAATATCGATACTCAATATTTTTTTTTATTTTTTTAGTTTCAGCACATATCTATTGAGTAAGAAGAAAAAAACCATATAGTAAATAAATTTTCTTATGTTAATTCTCTTATAATATATATAAAAAAAACATCCTTTTATACTCAACCTTAAAACATTAGTATTAAAAAAATATCTAGGTATTTTATTTGTACACAAATTCATTATTAATCTGTCAAATATTACTTCGGTTATTATTTGGTATGTTTTTAGGTATTTTATTTGTACACAAATTCATTGTTAATGTGTCAAATACCACTTCGATTATTTTTTGGTATCTTTTATATGGTAATAAGCTTTAGCATGTGATATTTTCCCTTTTTTTTAAGGTTTTTAATTCCAAATTATACTTGAACTCAACTTCTTTTGACTTAATTAATAGATTAGAACTAGGTTTCCTTTTGAATAATTTCCCGTCCTTATATATAGATGCTACCCACATCTCTTCTCTTCAAAACATCAAACATCAATTTTCATACTTCGATCTGAATATTCCTCACCAAACTTCATCAATCTCTCTATTATTTTATCTCCGATGGCCATGTCTACAACTCAAGCTCGCCGAAATCTTTTCTCGGTCCCTTTTTACAACGAATGCATCCACCACTACAAAAAAAGTGTCTTTGCGTGAGGAAGTTATTCGTTACCAAAGGTCCATTTTTTGTCACTATAACTTTTTGTAACGACGTGATTCGTTACCTTTCTTTGTCCTCTAAAGCCGGTCGCTAAAAGTTTGGGTAACGAAATATGTGAAGTCGTTACCAATGTATTAGTAACGAATACGTGATTGTTACCATTACTTATGTATAGTAACAAATAGCATCCTTACTAAACCTTTCAAATTTCGTTACCAGAACAAATTTCGTTACCAATAGATTATTTCTGAAAATTATTGTATATATGTAAATTAATATTACTCTCGTCACCAATACTTATAGTGACAAATATCTATGCTTACCAATACTCCAAAGCATTTTTTATTTTAATAGAAATTTTGTTTTTTTATAAATAAATTTCATATATGAGCTATTTTAAATAAAAATAACAATACATAATGAATATGTAAAAATATTATAAAAGTGAAATAAAGAAATCTTAAATAAAGATAGAAGTATTATACATCTACAATCAAAAGAAACAATGTCATTCATTTACACGTGGATATTATAAGTAACTTACATGCTTCCAAAATTAAAACAACATACACGTTGCATCGTATTGTCAGTGATAATCTTCGATAAAAATATATTATTGTACAATTTACATTTGTATCAATAAACCTGCAAGCAAATCATCCATTTTTGTTACATTTAATAAGAGTAGAATAAAATAATAAGAAACTAGAACAACATTAACAATGTAAAAGTTTAGAATCATCTGAACAATGTTAAAAACAATTACCTGCAAACATAGCACATACGACTCTGAGAATTGTATTGTCACGAGTTGATCTTGCAATAATCCTGAAAGTGATCAATTTTTCAGAAAATGATAAAGAGAATATTTTAGCTATCAACTTCTCGATGAAGATTAGGATATTCACATTACGTCCGCAAAACACATATATCATTCGTGATTAATATTTATGCTTTTAATCAAATATTCTCCATCAAATTCTCAACCAAATAGAAGTATGGAAATAGAATGCAAAATAAAGTACGAGTCTGGTAAAACTTACAATTTTCTTCGTCAGCATCTTCATTCTTCATATTTATATGACGACGCATCATTGAGTCTTTGGGCGGCATTTGACTGCATGATAAAAAAATTATTAATACAAAATAATTTCAAAACTAACAATATATATATCAAAACAAAAATCTATTCGTCTTCTTCGGGTTCATCTTCAGGATTGTGCAGATTATCATCATCTTCATCGCAATATTCCATAAGTGTTTCATCTTCTTCATCTATAGACTCATTTTCGTCAACACTTATTTCATGTAGTCTTTGTTGTCTAATTGCTTGGAGAACCTCTTCGTCAACAATATCTGCATCTATATCTTCTCTAGCTAAATATTCCAAATCATCAGCTTCATTTTCAACTAGTAATACAACCCCATTTGACTCATGCTGCTGAAATGCAGCTTCAACTCCTACATCTTCATGCTCTGTAATATCCCAAAGATGCCTGTGTTGTACATATTGTACAATCTTCCAATTATGACCAAGTTTTGTATCATTAACATAAAAAATCTGCTTTACTTGACTTGGTAGCACAAATGGATCATCTTTGTACCAACGAGACCTTGTATCAACACTTACAAAGTGTTTGTCCTTTTGTGATTTCTTTAGGTTAGACGTGTTATACCATTCACATTGAAATAAAACCACTTTATATCCATGAAGATATGTCAGCTCAACTACTCTGGTCAAGAACCCATAAAACTCCGTCATATTATTTTTATGCTCCCCCTCTACAAGTAATCCACTATTTTGTGTGGTTCGCCGATCATCTCGATCTTTTGTGTGAAAACGAACTCCATTTATAATGCAACCAGAGTAGAATTTTGTTAAATATGCTCGCGGACCATTTGCCAATGCCCATAATTCATCAGAGCCTTCTTCCGAGCGTTCATGAAGCAATTTGTTTATCTGTACAAAAAAAAAAAAAAATAAATAAAATATGTCTGTACAAAATATTATTCCATATAAAATCATTATATTTAAAGCTTACATGATGCTTGAACCAGGCACAAAATTGGTGCTCATGACATTTCTGAATGTCTATTGTATTGACCCTCTTGAGTTCTTCAATATGTTTGCTGTGCATATGATGAGATATTAATAAATCAAATGCAATATAGAATAATTATTCGAGAAATAAAATAAATTAAATATCTAACCTTTTGTAAACATCCAATTCATCACAGTTATTTAGTATAAACTTGTGGGCTATGCTCATTTCTTTTTGTGAAAGTGCATTGCATTCCTTAAGAGGTCCAAATGGTTTGACCTTTTGTTTGAAGACTGATAATTCACACTCTCGATGATCGTCAGCCCCATCTTCATTTCTTCCAACTGCATATCTTGTCTCTATTCCATCGACGTACATAGCCATGAAAGTTAAACACTCTTTAACAATGTAGCCTTCAGCTATCGAACCTTCGGGGCGTGCTTTATTGCGCACATATCCTTTAAGAGATTTAAGAAACCTGATAGGAAATAAAATTTCAGAAAATACATGATAATAATTTTTTTAATACGAATATTTTACGGAAAGAAAATTCAATTGTACCTTTCAATTGGATACATCCAACGAGAATGGACAGGCCCAGCAAGTTTTGCTTCACTAGGCAAGTGAACAGCCAAGTGGACCATGACATCAAAAAATGCCGGAGGAAATATTTTCTCCAACTTACACAAAATAACAGGAATATTTCTCTCCATTTTATCTATATCTGCAATCATCAATGTCTTCGCACACAAAGTTTTGAAGAAATCACCTAACTCGAATAATGCTTCAGTCACATCCTTAACTAGATATCCTCGAATGCCAATAGGAATTATTCGTTGTAAAAGAATATGGCAATCATGAGACTTAAGACCTAAAATCTTTGTATCTTTTACACATCTAGAAATGTTTGATGCATAACCATCGGGGAATTTGAGAGTTTTCAGAAAATCACAGAAGCCCCTTTTCTCACTTGGAGATAAATTGTAACATGCTTTAGGCTTTATAATATTATTCCCATATTTCTGCAAATGCAATTCTTTCCTTATATAAAGATCACGTAAGTCTTCGCGTGCCTTTTCTGTATCTTTTGTTTTTCCATCAATGTTCAATAATGTGCCTAACACATTATCACATATATTTTTCTCCACATGCATCACATCAAGATTGTGCCGCAACTTAAGTGTATGCCAGTAGGGTAACTCAAAAAATATGGATTTCTTAACCCAATTCCCTTCCTCGTGGCTGCGTTTCCTCTTTTTTTTACTTGGGTGCTTCCCGAGCTTGTCAAATACTTGCTCTAAATTGTTTAAATTCAAAATTATCTCTTCACCGGTCCATTCGATTGGTTTCAAACGTGTTTCAGGCTGACCATCAAACTTCTTACTCTTTCGATAAGGATGATCCCTCTCTAGATAACGGCGATGTCCCATGTAGCATATTTTGCTTCTAAGTTTTCTGGAATCAGTCATATACAAACAACATGGACATGCCATATACCCTTTTGTAGTCCATCCAAATAAATTGCTAAGTGCAGGAAAATCATTTATTGTCCACATAATTATTGCCCGCATTTGGAATTTTTCTTTCTTGCAAGCATCGTAAGTCTCAACACCATTCCACAATTCCTTTAGCTCATCAATTAATGGCCTAAGAAAGACATCAATATCTTTTCCAGGAGCTTGAGGGCCAGGGATTAGCAATGACATCATAAAGAATTCGTCTTTCATGCATTTATATAATGGCATATTATATGGAATAAGTATAATAGGCCACATGCTATAAGAATTACTCATGTTTCCAAAGGGATTGAATCCATCTGTAGCCAGCCCAAGTCTAACGTTACGTGCATCAGCGGCAAAAGTAGGATGCTGCAAATTAAAATCTTTCCAAGAAAGTGAATCCGCTGGATGACTCAGTGTTCCTTCAATATCAATGTGTTTTTCAGCATGCCACCTCATATCTGAAGCTGTTTTAGAAGACATGAAAAGCCTCTGCAACCTAGATTTCAAAGGAAAGTATCTCAAAATCTTATGCGGGGTTCTTTTGCTTTTGCCATCATTATACATCCATCGAGGTTCCTTACAAACTGGACAGGACTCTTCCTGCTCATTCTCCTTCCAAAATAATGAACAATCATATTTACAAACATCGATCTTCTCATAACCCAACCCTATTCCAAAAAGAAGTTTTCTAGCACTATAAAGAGATGGTGGAACTATATTACCCTCCGGTAATATGTCTTTGATCAATTCGAGAATCAAATTCATCGTCTTGTCTGTCATTTTATTCATCACTTTAATATGCAATAACTTGACAATGAAAGATAACAACGAATATTTCTTGCAGCCAGGGTACAATTCACGCTTAATATCACTAAGCAATCTTTCAAAATTTTGTATACCTGAATCATAAGATTGATCAGGTTCTGCATCTCGCATCTCCTCTATCATTTCAAACAACTCATCCATTCTTTCAATATCATCGATCGTGTGAAAGTCCCGCGTAACAGGAAAGGATCGTGGAACTTTAGATTCACCGTGATATATCCACGTCTTATAGTTGCTGCAAAAACCTTTTAAGTGCAAGTCTCTTTTAACTTCAAGAAAGCTTTTACGCTTGGTGTTTCGACAATCATTGCAAGGGCATAGAATCTTATTATCAGCGCAAGCATCATTCTCTCTTGAAAATTTTAAAAATGATTCAACGCCGTTAATAAATATAGAACTAAATCTATTATTTTCATCGATCCAACTCTTATCCATACCTGCACAAAACGAACAATTTATTATGGAAACTATATCTTGAAAACATTAATTTGCATTATAATATTTGCAACCCAACTGGATTTAAACCTCTACATGTCTAAGAAATGAATATTTCTCTCCAAATCAGTTAGTTTAGCTAAATTATGTAGTTCAATTAGTACTTGTACCTGAAAATCTATTTATTTTTTTTAATCTAACACTACAGTAAAAAAAAAAAAAAACCATCTCTATATATGTACATGACAAAAGATATTTCTTTATACACATAAATCAATTATTCTTAAAAATAAAGTAAAAAAACATTGAATTATTACTGGAGAAGAAAACTAGAAGCGAGAATCTCCTAAAAGATAACCCACCTACAATAGAGCAAAATTTAAGGGAGGAAAAACATTAACAAAGCTAGAACCCAAAGAAATTAAGAAAAATGAGACAAACCTTGAAGAAAGGGGAACTTCAGTTTTACCTTTCTGCCTAAACTCTTACAGAGGACGACATGGTTCTCTAAATTCCATAATCGAGAAGAGAAAATTTTTAAATTGGGCGAGGAAGGAAGGATCTGTGAGAATAAATAAATATATATACCAAAAATTGAAGAGAAAATTTTAAAAGAAATTTTGTTTCATAGAAACCTCTCTAGGGTTCTTCACATTCCACAAAACCCACTTAACTTCTGATGTTGTGATTTTGGAGAGGGAAAGGGGAAATAAAGACCGCTGCTTTTTGGCTTCAATGACTAATTGTTTTTTTAGAATTTTTGACTATTCTTCTCTAAATAATATGTAACCTGAAATTTAATATAGCACATGTAAATTTACTCTAATGCTATTATTTTTATTAAACATTTTGTTAGTCAACACAATATGTAAATAAAAAGAAAATTTACATTGATATAAAAGTATGATGAATACATATTCAGTTCAATTCTATAATGAAATTGATATCATTAAAATTACTATAGGTGGAGATAATTCAAATTTAATATTATTAATAATTAAATACATTTAGTGAAATCAGAGAATAGTTTATTATAAAAAAAAAAAAAAATCAGAGAATAGTTTCTTGAACTTTTCGTAACAAGACTATTATTTGTCACGAAATAATAAACTTTATTGTGACAATACCTTTTTATTTGTAACCAACAATTTTCTTTGTCACAAAATAATAAATACTTTCATGACAAACTATTGTATTTGTAACAAAAAAATTCTCTGTCACAAAAAATGAGTTTCTTGTAACGATGTTTAATCTTTTGTAACCAAGTTTTTCGATTGTCATTAAAAATTGAACTCTTTGGTAACGAAATATTATCGTTTTGTAACGTGACCGGGATGTGGTTACGAAAAGTAACGTTTTTGGTGAGGAAAGGTACTCTTCGTTACAATAACGTAGTTCTTGTGACAAATTCATCATTTGTTACCATTGTTTTGTTATTTAAAGTGTCTTTTTTTGTAGTGCACGTAACAGTAACAAAAGAGGCCCGACAAGTACATGAATGGATTCTTTCGATATGCAGTATTCACATCGATTTCTCGAAGAATCTTTTAATAGGTCTTGATACCGAGTGGCTGCCAAATCTAAACCCAGGCGAAAACCACCCTATCGCTATACTCTAACTCAGCATCGGCAACCGGTGCCTCATCTTTCAACTTCTTCACGCAGATTTTATTCCGGTTTCGCTCCACGCCTTTTTAGCCGATCCTCGCCACACGTTTTGTGGGGTCGGTATCAAAGATGACGTGGACAAATTATACGATCATCACAAATTACGCGTGAGAAAAATCGCGGACCTGAACGATCTTGCAAGACTGGCGACGATCAACAGCCAAAGTGGAAACGGAGGGTACAAATACATGGGATTGAAGAAGATGGCGTATGCGGTTCTTGGAAAGAAGATGGAGAAGCCATTGAACGTGACGCTCAGTAAGTGGGACACTGTGGAGCTCGATCGTGATCAAATTGAATATGCAGCCATTGATGCGGTAGTTTCTTACCAACTTGGTTATACACTGTGCTCGCCGATTTATCGTCCGCAGCCAGGCTCTATCGTAGTTGGACGACCTGGATTGTTATTAGTTTAGGGGACAATTTTGGATGTTCTTCATGTGTATATTATATATTTTTTCTCTTTCGTTGCTAATTGCTAAATAAGAAAAGGGATTTATGTTGTTCTTTACATTTTATTTATCAATGTTTTGGTATTGTACTTGGTCAAGTTTAAAAATTCAGTTTATTTTAAGGCTTGCAGGCACATGAGAAATTAATTCGACATACCAGATTAAGAGTTGTTTCCTAATTAAAAAACGTTATAATAAATATATATTTGATTAGTTATAAAGAAGTAAAGAACTAGAAGAAGTAAAAAATATCACATGACTAATGATAAAGAAAGAAAATTATTTGTTCAATTGTGAAATTATGATGATGGCAGGATCTAAGATGAGCAAAATGTGGAGGGAAGAGTTAATGATGGAGAAATCTACAAATTAAGCAAGCAAAATAAATGATTTTTTTTTTTATCTATAATCATGTAATTAAAAATACTTTTTTTTTTCCTTTCGAAATTCCCTGCTTTTTTATGGGGTAATTGTGGTGCTAATTTGCATGTTTAATAGAAAAGAGCTGTCCTACTTCTATGATGGACAGATTATAACGTATTTTCTCATTTCTTAGATAAATGAAATGGCTGTACATATATGTAAATGTAGATTGTAGTGTTACTTGTAACTTTCAAAAACATTTGTTCTTCACTTTACACAATTGGAGATATTTGTTGCAGAAATTTGTCGTTTGAGTGGATTTTGCCGAGGCGAGTTGTCTCTTTCCTTAAGACGAAATTCCTTCGCACGGTGCATACGGTTTGAACGGACATCGTCTTCCAAGATACAACGCCAAAGCTTGGAATAAGAACACTCCAAATCCCAAGTACGCCGAATTGTACTTTGTTTAGAAACTCTCAAAAAAATCTGCTGGAAAAGGTAAGACAGAATTGTACAATGGCAGCATATGACAAAGTAACATGATCAAATGTGTATATATATATATATATATATATATAAATAATGGGATTATGATCCAATCTTACTTGGAATAGTGGATACTACTTCACCCATCTGAAGTCGATCTGCAAAAACAATGAAGAATAAATCGAAAAACAAATTTAAACGATCGGAGAGATGAAGTGGAAGGGGAAGATTCACACAGAGAATGGTGGTTTTTCCGGCATTGTCAAGGCCAAGGACTAAGATCCGAGCTTCCTTGTTCCCAAACACCGACAAAAACAGGCGCGTGAAAACAATTCCCATTCCCTCCCCTCTTACTCCGGTCAATGAATTTCACGAAATCTAACTCTGAACAGAACAAATTTCAAAAAAACCCTAGATCGGATCGGCGCAGAGAAACAACTTGACGTAGAATGGAAGCACGGTAAAGAATTAATTTCTACGAATTAATCCTGTAGAACAAAATAACATTCGGAATCCACCGAATACTCTGGAATCCACCAGAAAAATAGAGAAAACTCTAAATATTTTATTAAAATTCGAAATTCTTCTCAAAATAAAGTCCTAAGACAACTATTTATACTAAAAAACTGAAAACTCTAATTAATCTAAGAAAATAATAAAAATTACCAAAAACGGAAAAAACGAGTTAAATCCTAATGCTAGTAGATCTCATAATTTCGGGAACAAACCAATTTACGGAATCCTAATACGATTTTTCTATGATTTGATATTAATTTTCTAAAACATACCTAAAATAGCAAAAACGAACTTTTAGGAGTCTAAACGACGTTGGATTGCTGAAATTTGACGTGATTCATGAGCTTTGCTCCTGAGTTTTGTTCCTTGCGCCGTTTCACTTTCATGAGCTTTGCTCATGAGTTTTGTTCCTTGCGCCGTTTCACTTTCATGAGCTTTGCTCATGAGTTTTGTTCCTTGTGCCGTTTCACTTGAGATAGAGTTCGTTTCGTACTCAAATACAATTTGAGTTCGTTGAAAACCCTTATTTTTCCATAAATATTTCTTTCGATATTTCCACCAATGCCCATTAATAACTCTTCTCCAAATTAAATAGTTATTTTGAAATTCCAATCCAATTCGACGTTCTTTATCACAACTCCCTCTTATCTTCCCACTACAACAAAAAACACTTTTTAAGACACAAATAAATGCCCTAATAAATAGTGTTTTGGGGCAATAGCCTTTGGGACATTTATTATATGTCCCCATAAAATTGTATTTTCAAGACATTTATATACGTCCCTATAGAACATTTTTGAGACATATATATATGTCATATAAATATATCAATATTGGTACCTAGATATTTGTTGGGACACTTAATTTATTCTGGAGACAATTTATATGTGTCCCAACATTATAATATTATATCATTTATAAATATAAATAAATAAATATTATATATATTATATACATTCATATCCGATCCTATTATAATAGTTATACTCCAAAAACAATAGACACATCATTAAACTATAAAATCAAAACAAAAACTTTAACATTTTCAATTATCATTTATCAAAATTCAGCTGTATTTGAACATCAGAGTAAACAAATACTTTTTACAGCTAATCTCCATATTCCCGAATCATTGATCGTAAAAATACAAAATTACAATATGTAGAACTCGCTTTAGTTTCCTAGCAAATAATGAAAGAACCTCTTGGATAAAATTTAGTGTCTTTAGCTGCCACCATACGTTAGGAACATCAACAATAAAACTCGTCCCTCAAAGCAACCTGTATATACAAGAATATATATAAATTAGTATAATAAGAAAATCATACAAGTTACAAATACCATGGTCAATATTCAATACATGATCTCTATTACAATATTATTCTCATTCTTAATTGTTGTAAAAATAGAATAACTTCAAAAATAGCTAGAAACTAAAATTAACAGCAAACAATGCGAACAAAGCGAAGAAGAAGATTAGTAGAGCTAGTCAATCATGTACGCCCCCAACATCATGAATTTAGCGTAAAGTGTATGTTCTTAACAATTTAAAAATATAACTATGTCGACCAACTCCCTCTGGATCAGTATTAAAATATAAAAATGGTGATCAAGTGAAAAAAGGACTGGGGAAAAAGAGAGCATACCAGTAAGAAGATTTGGAGTTTTATCATCCAGAGCAACAGGAAACTGCACGGACAAGATATACATTAATGAATAACAAGAAACCCAAGTTAGAAATACAATATTATTAAAAATACAAGGAAATGTAGACATTCTCAAATATCCTCCAATCATGTATATGAACATAGCTTACATTTACATGTGCCAAGAAAAAAAGTTGCAAGAGAGATCGAGATAAGACGATTACCAACAAAAACTTATGATCTATAAATCAACTAAATCACTCAACACCGTAGAAAAAAAAAAAAAAACCAAATAACGAGGGTCACACAACATTTACTCGAATGAGATTTCCAATTGTCTCTGTTCAATCACCTGAATGACATTTTCAATTGTCTCTATACAATTACCTAGGAAATTAGTCTTGCATCAATATTCACCTCCTATTGAATGTATCTTTACATATAATTTGCAAGATTGAGTTAAATTATTTAGATAAGTAAATTAGGAAGCAAAATATCGGCTCCTAAAATGATTCCTGACATTGCATGCTTAATATTTAGAATATATATAGTATAAATAATAAAATGAGAGCTAATCAATTGATTAAAGAGTCAGATTATTTAATACAATACAAAATAATAATAAAAAAAAAAAGAAAAAAAAAGAGAGAAGAAGATCAACAAAACCAGAACTAAAATTTCTTGCAAGAACTGCACACGAGTTGAATAATGAAACATACTCCACAAAGAATTCAAATTAGAGTAAAATATTAGAGTATTTTGGTAAAATTATTTATGTTCTTCTGCATAAACGAATCACTAGTGCGCCACTACAATTGAGAACATAATAGGATTTTAATTTATTTAATATAAGAATTTATCCTTTCTCCTACAATTCCCCTATCCCATGTCGAACAATCACAAGGCTAGTATAGACAATCAATAACCAACATATTCTTATTCCCAATTTTAAAGTTTATACACATATACATATTGAGTTATTTAGAAATATTAATAGTTAGGGCTTGAATTTAAATTATTAGGCATAATTGTTTTCATAAGAATAAGAGTTCAAAATCCATTACCATGAAGAAGAAAGGAATTGACAGGATTACCATATGATTCGTTATCAGGATGAGCAAGATATTCTTTTGTTCTCCTCCATCGCCGTGTTGCGTCGTTGTTGCAAGAAAAACAGTAGGTTTTTCTATGAAAAATGGCTTAAATTGGGAATAGGGTTGGGGTTAAAATTAAGGGTCTATTAGATATAACCCCTTAAACATTCAAATAATAGGGGTAGACCCAAACTTAAATTTGTCATTTTGATAAAAACCCAAACTTTTCTAAATTACATAATTACCCTCAATCAAATCCCACAAATCTCGTTACTTTACCTTTTGAAATAACATCAAATCTCTCCCTATTTTCCCGTTAAAACACTATTTGTTCCAAATTTGATAGACACGATTCGATAGAACGGCCAATGATCTCACGTAAATTTATTCCATGATTTTAGAATCACGTATCAGCAAATCTCATATCACGTAGTTAAGGAAATAAATGTTGTTCAAAAATAAAACAGGGGTATTAAAGGGAAATTATATAATATATTTTGCCAAGTTGGCAAATTTGGGTGTATCTCAAAAAGGGAAAAATATGAACAAGGGGGTTATCCCTAATAAACCCTAAAATTAATAAGGCCCGCAAATCTTATAATTGATTGATAAGTGTCCCGAAAAATTCAAGAAATGGGGAAAAAGTTAAGTGTGCTAATAAATTATACTTAGAGGCATTTATAAAAACATGTCTCCAAAAACAAATGCCTCGATAGATCTTATAAATAAGAAAATTTTATAAGTGCCCCAATACATTATCTCTGAGGCATTTTCAAAAAAATGTCTCTAACCAAGTGTCGTAATATTTACATTTTGTTGTAGTGCCTGTGGATGAATGAAACCCAAATTATTATCAAAA